GGACTGGCAGGTGGTCAGGGTGTTATTCCAAAGGCCATGAGAAGCTGGGAGGTGGGGGATGACCTGAGCTCTACTTCTTTGAGTCTCAGTTTCCCCATACTCATGGGATTTGTGTGAGCATTCAGTGAGATTCTGCTTTTACAGCTTTTAACGGGGTGTCTGGCACATAGTAGTTACTTAATAAGTATAAATATTATTACTTCCTCCTCCAGGAAGCCCTCCTGGTTGTCCAGGCAATTTGTCTGCCTCCCATAGCTGCCTTATCCATCCCCTTCAACCCACAAACTCTGAGTAGTAACTCACTGGTTCTGTGGGAGCCCAGGAAGATAGGTAGGTCTATCTGGGGTCCCCTGTGTCCCTTGCACCCAGTACAGCACTGGGCGCTTAATAGGTGTGCAATAAACTACCAGAAAAAGGAGACAAGTGAGTGCTGGGTGTTCCATTCTGAGGCCAACAGGAGGTACAGGGAGGCACCTGAGCCTGGGTTTAGGGGGAAGACACACCCCAGAAAGCCAGGTTCCTCCTCCAGCTGAGGCCCCCACTTTGCCAGTTCCTGGCTTCTAGAGCCCCATCTCCTGGTCTCCTCACAGCTGCCCTTATGAATTACCTACTATACGCTGGGCTTTGGGCTGGGAACACACCAGGGATCCAGCAGCTCCCAGGCTGGGAGGACAGTGCAGAGGTCCCAGCTGTGACAGGTAACACACAGGCAGCTGAAGGGTCCAAGGCATATTCAGGGAGGCTCATTCAAGGGTAAGGCTTGGCCTCATTCAACAGAGTTTCCCTCAGCTCTTGCCTGGACATTCTCAGTCTTAAATGTGAAGGCCTCAGAAGCCAGTCTGACCCTTCTAGTCCATCCCGTTCCAGGTTCTGCCTGGACCCCTCCCCACCTCTCACACCCTCGGTAGCTTCCCTTGGCCCACTGGAGAAAACAGGCTCCTCTGCTGGACATCTGAACCCCTGTTTCCTTGTCTCTGCTGACCCCAGGCTGTCTTTTCTGCCTGGAAGTTTCCTCACCATTTACACCTAGAGAACTCCTATGCATCCCTCAAAACCCAAATATGGGAACACATACTGAGATCATCTTGGGACACTTTGACTATGACAGGGCTAGGTAGGGGTAAGAAGGGCAAAGTGCCACATGGAAAATCCCAAATAAGTCTTTCCCCAACACCCTCTTTAACTTAACTATCCTCTCCTTCCTGCACTGGCCGCTTGCCACTAGGCATTCAGCAGTTTCTATAAGGAGTGCCCAGACATGCGTGGATATGTCCTGGTCCCAGAAAGGGAGGAGGCAAGGGTTCAGGCTGCCACTACCCCCCCAACCCCCCAACACACACACCATATGGTGATGATTTGGGGAGAAGCAGTGAGAAACTGAAAAACAGAAATGCAGAGAGAACAAGGGAGAAAGAGAGAGACTGAAAGAGACAAAGAGAGAAAACATGGAAACTTTCTAGGCATTTTCTCTGCCAAGGTGCTGTGTTTGGGGGTGAGAACCCCGAGAGGCAGAAAGTGCCCCAACCAGCCAAGGAGGAAGACTTGGGCTATTGGGTGACTTGGACTCCAAGCTGTGTGAGCCATGCATAGGATTGCCCCAATCTGAGCCTCAGTTTTAACCGGTGACAGGGAGCTGACTCCTGCATCCACCTGGATGGGGCTGCGTGTCCACACGTCAACCAGGACCTAGCACACTGCAGGTGCTACGTAAATGCACACCATGGTCAGTGAAATCATTCCAGGAGCAGGCATGCAAACCGAGGCACTGGAGCGGGGCGTGCAGAGGCGGGAGTTGGGAGGGAAGTCAGGGTTCCGGGCAGTGAGCACATGGGGGCCGGAACCTGACTCCTCAGCTCACCCACTTCCTGCCTGGCCAGGGGCTGTCCTGGTGACCCCGGAGGCAAGGAACCCACACAGCCGGTCCCAGGGCCTGAGCCGACCACTTCCGCCCCCCATTCCCCTGCAGCCCAGGCTCTGCTGACTCACACTCAGCTGTCCCCATCCTTCCCCAAGTGAGTCCTCATTTTGAGGCAGGGGTGGACAGAACTCAAGGGGCCTGGCAGAGGCCCAAACCCAGAAGGC